TTATTTAAAGTAAATATCCTGCATTCATAGTTGCAGATAAATACCCCAAATACAGCAACAGATTTCTGAACAGGTATCCCACATTGGTGTAATAAAAAGGTGGGGTGGGCGAGAGGATTGATAACAGTTCACAAGTAGGCCAGTTGCACTGAATAGTGTCCAATATGGTATTTTTTTAATGACATAGTAGTATATAAATACTTTTATTAAAAAAATAAATAGCTCAACATAATTTATTTGTTGCATTTGTATCCCACTTTTTTCCTCCATGGAAATAAAGGTGGCGTATGTGGTTCTTGCCCTTCTCATTTAATGCCCACAAAAACCCAGTGAGGTAGATTAGGCTGAGAGGCAGTGGCTGTCCTAAGGTCACCCAAGGAGCTTCATGACTGGGTGGGAATTTGAACCTGGTTTCCCAGGACCTAGTCCAGCACTTTAACCACTACACTACACTGGCTCTCCAGTGCTTTAATAGGGAATTGTGCTCAACAATAGCCCAGCACTCAATGCAGATGTAAGCATGGCAGCTATTGGAACAGGCAAGAGTGGTGAGCCATAGACTGGCATGATGTGCAGTAGCACACCAGCCAGCCAATTCTGCATTAGGTAGTGTCCAAACTAGTGTGTGCCATTACAAGTTGGAAAATCCTGCCATTCCAAATGTGCATTTTTGCACATTTGTCCTGAACATGCAGCCTGTCTTTTCACCAAAATAATTGGAGAGGTTTCATAGTCTTTCATGCTTAGAATGCTTATTTTTATGCAATTAGTATAGCTTACTTCTCTCTATATATATCCATATTCTTATATATTTTAGGTTTATTTTGCCCCCCCCCAAAAAAAACAGAATAGTCCATGCACACATTTCCTCAGTGTAGGCAGGGGAAATGTAGATCAGTAGAAAAGATGTACTTCAAATCACAAAGATGGCACAAAAATGTTCAAGGTGACTTGTTTTGCTCCCCATCTTATCTTATCTAGTCCTTGTAGACAGATATCTGATATCAACTACTGCTTGGTGTTGAATATATGTTACACACACACACACACACACACACACACAGAGAGAGAGAGAGAGAGAGAGAGAGAGAATTTTAATCTTTGAAACCTTATTATGAACGTGCTTTAGTTAGCAGCCCAGTATGCCTCATAATCTAACATTAACAAGGGAAAAAACATAATCTGTTTCCTGAGCTGGGCTAATGCAGTTTTCTGGATTAGTAGTTTACAAGGAAGAAGAAAAAGAAACTTCATCACTTTAAGCTTGATTCCAAATGTTCTGCAGGAACAGGGAAATGCAAACTTGGGCTGGCGCTCCTTTCTGCTGCCGTCTTCTGCGCCATTGACCGGATCTTGACAAATGGCCCACCGCCACCTTCCATCGTCTCTTAAAAAACTTCAAATGGGAGTGACTAATTTCTCTCTTTCTGCCATACTTTTCATACTTCTGCTGTTCGTGTCCCAGCTTGTTAATAACATTTTAAATTTTGCTGAAAATTGTGTGTTGGCGTAATTGTCCCAAATGGTAGGACACTCAGATTGGATATTCAAGACACATGTTAAAGGAAGCCCTCTCAGGGTTTTTATTAACAGACGGTGTTATTTTGCTTCCTCTCCATCTTCTTCTTTTGTTGCATCTCAAGTTTGAACATGGGAGTTAGGCTGTTATGGGAGGCAGTGAAGAACCTGGGATGCCATTGAAAAAAAATGCATCTTTGAAAAAGCTGAAGTCAAGGAGCTGGAAAGATGTTCTACGTTCCTTTTGTTGTTGCTGTTATCTACCTATTTAAAGCTGGCCTTCCTGAAAGAACGCCTGTTTGCAACCATCTCTGTTCCCTGGATCCTTTTAAAACCAGCGAAAACACAAGAGATGCTTTGTTTGCAGTGCAGCAGAACAGAATATGGAAGGAGATGAGAATCTGAATAACATTTCAAGAACTCAAGAGAAACAGTGAAGATAACATGTTGCTTCTATCTGTTCTACATCAACATTTATTCAGACTTCCTTCTTATCTCCATACCAGAAGTATTAGGTTCAATAAATATCTGCTCGTACTCTGTAATTCTGTATTTTGTCACTTTTTTTAACCAAAAGGGAAGAAGAAAGAAAGCCAGATAACATTTTCCCATCACTAGATTTACCTGGGTTTTGAGGGGTTGCTGCATTCCAAACAGTTAGCCTTGGGCATTTTGTTTCTCTCACAAAACTCTTCATTCCCAGTGCTCAGATTAGATAACAGTAGATAGGATCCTGACCCCCTTAGCTGCTGTTTTGAGAAATTGGGGTGGGGGGGATTATATGGCTAAAACAGGGCTGGGCCTTATGGAATTTATTACAGCCCACCAGTCTCCTCATCATTCAAGCACTGATCTTGCACAATATTTGCTACTGAGGGCTGAAGCACAGAGCCCAGGACTTTACTAGAGCAACATGAAACTAGGCAATGGGTTTTGAGAACTGCGCGAGGCAACGTTTGCTAGGCTGGTGCACTACATGGGTTTTAGAATACAGTTATGCTGACTGAGGCTGATGGTAGTTGTACTTCAAAGCATCTAAAAGGGCACCGGGTTGGTGAAGGCTGGCATAATGTCTGGCCCACAGAGTTTGTGTTTGTGTGTTTATATAATACATCTGCTTTGGAACATCCTCCCCTAAACCACATGATTCTGAAGGAGAAGAAGCAGGATGATACAGCAAGAATGTGCGCGCGCGGGGGGAGAGTAATAAGAAACAGAAGTAGAAAAATCAACAAAGAAATGACAATATGATACCATGTTACACTACTGTGAACTAAGTGTAGCTCATTATATTTGCAACCAAATCTATCTATGTCTAGTCTAGTCTAGTCACTCATTTATTATTTATTGCATTTATATCCTACCTTTTTTCCAAGGAGCTTAAGGTGATGAACACGGTTCTCCCCTTCATAATTCAATCCCCTCAACAACACTGTGAGACTGAGAGGCAGTGACTGGTTTCCAAGATCACCTAGTGTGCTTCATGATGTTTTGAACCCTGAAGGTCTTCATCCAACACTCTAACCGCTACAACCACATGGCTGTCTAGTCCAGCATTCTGCTCCCACAGTGGCTAATCAGATGCCTATGAGAAGCCCTGTGATGTGGCCTGCCCCCAGCAAAGGAGAGACTCGCCCCCTCTGTGGGTGCCAGAGAAGATTTCTGCAGTTCTATGCACAAGGAAGGACACATTGACAAGAGAAGCAACTCTTTGTGAAGGTTGTTCTGGCCCTGGAATTTGATGGGTGTCCCCAAACCAAAGAGAACTTTGGAAGATTTTGTCACAGTTGCTGCCTCCACAGTGTATTCCTTTTCGTTTCTGATCCCCCAAACAGTTTAGCTCCACCTATTTGGTCTAATGGACCAATTAGCAAGACATTGCAGATGACAGGACATTCAGGGCACATTGGCAATGTTATGGGTACAGTGGTTCAGCTGAGGGGGGGGGAGAGATGTAATCTCTTTCGGTCCTTCACCTGATCCTTTAGGGGAAGAGTGGGGTGATGGGACAAGCGTTTGAGCTAGAGCAAACTGACCTGTGGCAATCCGGAACTTGTGTCAGATGCCTGGCCATCTATCTTGAAATAAAGAGAGAAGGCCTTTCAGCTCGCTTCAAACCCAGTCTGTCCAGGGAGAAATTCAGGAGTGGGAAACTAGGTCCCTCTAGAACAAGGTGTAGTCAGCCTCCTGAAGAACATTCCAGAGATGGTGTACTATTAAAGAGAAGGCCCTTATCTAAGAAACAATAGACTTAGCCCTGCAGATGCTGTTGGTCTCCAGCTTCCATCATCCCTGATGGCCATGCTGGCTGGGGTTGTTGGGACTTGGGGTCCAACACAGGGCATGTGGAAGAAGCCCCATATTAAGTTCTACAGATTTTGATGGAGCAAGTATGCTTTGAGTTGTAGCTGTAGCTCCAGCCAACCCAACAACATGCCATTGCCTATGGCAAAACCCATCAGCTGGAGCTGTGGTTGTCCAAAATCAGTTTGAAGTGCGACAGTGAAATGGTCTAGATACGTCCTTTGAGAAAGTCGTTGGCAGTCTAGGAGTTCTCCCACTTTCTCTTGTACCTTTCAAGACAGTTTGCAATGTTCCTCTCCCTTGGACTTGTGTGCTGTATGTTTGTGTGGTGAATATGCAGAAATGATATCTCACTAGAACAAAACTGGGATGAATGCAAATGTATATTGGAAATAAAGTTCAGAATTTTATGACCTTCCCTCATTGCATCTGCCACCCGACACCCCATGATACTTTCATGTCCTTCACCTTTTTGTGCTGTGGAGTTGGGATGCATCCTTTTGCTACTAAATTTTGGTAATTTGCCTCACCACTGTGGACACCTGTTATATGACTTTTTTTTTCTTTTCTTTCACGTTTCCTCCCCTCTTAATTCCAAAAAGTGCCTTATTGGACATTAGAATCGACACTTTAATTATTATTATTATTTTTTAAAGATTGCAGATCATTTTAATTCAAGAGCCTTGGTGCTAGTTTTATTTCAATTTTTTCCAGCATGGTTCATTTCTAGAGATCCAGCCATTTGTAGGAGTTTGCTTCCATTCGCAGGAATGGCCAAGGGGTCGGAGTCTTAATGTCTTTTTTCTATAACCTTTGCCTGGTTCGACCTGAGCAGCATTTGTTGTGGGAGTAGCAAAAAAATAATAATATCAAACAATTCCCAAAGAAAGAGCTGGTAGGGTTGGTTGGGGAATGCCAGGGGTGTCTGGCAGTGTGGGGTGATGACACTAATATATATATATTCATGAAGAGGTGAGGGAAAAAAGGTTTCCCCTCCAGCACCAGTGTGGTGGTGTGGACCCTTATTTCACCTTCCTAGGACCCTCCTCATATTCCCCCCTCCTTTTCCACGGCAGACCTGACAGAGGTTGAATGCTCTCTTCCCAGCAGAGAGACCTCCCTTGAGACAGAATACGGCAGGGGGCCACTGATGGCGCTTGTCTGTTTTGTCTTTCTAGAAAACGTCCATCTCCAACCCGGAACGCTGCTGCACCTGAGAGGCTCGAAGCTCTGAAATACCAGCGGATAAAGAAGCCCAAAAAGTCATCCAAGGGCTCCTCGAAATCCAAAAAACAAATCAGTGAGTGCGAGGAACACGAGACTCCCGGCTAATCGTCCCACCCCCGCCCTGCCTGCCCCTTGCCACTTTGGGCCTGGCACAATACTCATTGAAGTCAATGACTTGTAATGAGAATTGATTCTGTCTCTGGGCCTAGAGAAAGTGTGCTACTCTGTCCTGTTTTTTCACCCGTTCACGGGATCTTCAGAAGTGAAAGGTTCCACCACCCACCCCACTGATATTTGCCTCCATCCCTTAAGCCAAAAGGTAGTTTGTAGCCCTTTTCACCTCCAGTTTGTATAGACCCTGAGCTGGTGTTCCCTACAGTTTTCCGGTGGATTTCTCGTTAAACTCAGCTCCTGTGTCTCTCATTTCCTTTTTCCTCCTACCCCAGTTCCTCAATAAACTCTCCTAACTCCTCCTCCTCCTCCTATTCTGCCCTCCTCTTGGTTACATCTTTATTTAAACAAAACCCTGCCTCGTTCACAAGGATCATCCATCCTCTTGGCAATCCCATGAACATCTCACACCCTCTCTGCATAAAGCAAACCTTCCCACCCCAAAGCATTGCTTTTCTTTCCCCTGTTCTCCTACAATCACGCAACTTTTCATGTGCTAAAATAATACCTCTCTGCCTTGGTTATATTTTAAGTTGTGTACTGAACTTCTTTTTCCTCCTTCTTTTTGTTGTTGGCTTAAAAAGAACAAAGAACAAAACAAAACTGCTGATTGCCTGTGCATCCTGCCATGATGCCTGTGCAAAATGCCTAACCACCCTCTTCCTCTGCCCTTGTCACCTTCCTCCTCAGATGGTTCTGCCTCCCAGGTTCAGCAACACCCTAACTCTCAGGTACTGTGGCCTGACGAAGCTGTCTGTCTCCGGAAGAAGAAGAGACATCCTCGCCAGGACCCCTTTGCCCGCCTCTCAGCACTGAAGGATGACCTCTGCCACCGGCAGGTTCCTGAGGACCAGACAGCCATTCTCAACAGTGTGGACCATGATGATTCCAGTGGGCATGCAACCTTACTTTAAAGTAGCACCAGCCAGAGAAGGGACAAGGGGGAAGCTGGGTGTGTATGTGTGGAGGGGTGGGGCAGGATAAGGGTGCAAATCTCTTGGGATCAGGCAGAATCCACAGAGAAACAGCGGGGAGAGAAGAAGCTGAAGCACAGGTGTGTGTGTGCACGCGTGTGTGTTTGTGGCTCATCCATACTGGAGGGTGTGGGCTTCAGTCTTGTTTTTGGGTACCAACATGGGGGGCAGGAAGTGCCTAACAAAGCAATTAATAACTTACATATGGTGCGCAATACCCTTGTGTGGTATTTGATAGGAGTAAACCCAACATGAAGCCTTTGACCATTGCAGGGTGGGGGGACCATTTGCATCTCCCTGTAGCATTTTCAGTTGCAATGCAATCTGTTAGGATAGGCAATATCCAAAATGAGAGAGGAAGGGAGGTGGGCGGGCATGGGAGAAACATCCCTGCTTAAGCAAATCAGCTTTGTTTGGATCTCCTGCAGAGGATCAGGCAAAGGAAGAGCTCAGTGCATGGAGTTCTGTAGGAGAGGGAAATGGAGCTTCGAAGTAACCACCCTTTGTAAAAAATATTCACCATAATAATCTGGTGAGCCTCAAACCTTCTTCTCTGTGCTGTGGCTTCCGTCTTATGTGTCCTGGAAGGAGGATGAGATTTTACAACTTGGTTTCCAAAATTATATATATACAGTGGGGGTTGTTTTTCTAAAAGAAAAAAAAAAGTATAGATACAGGATACAATGTATATTTATACAGTGTGTGTTTCAATTTAGGTAGAAAACACTGGGGGGGGGGGAGAGAACAAGCTTTCCTAATTTAGGGAGTGGGTTGGGAGTGATATAAGAATTACCACAGGATTATCATGGGATGCAGTTAAGAAACCAAGATTTCAAGCTGAGGTTTATGACCCGATGGATTTTATTAATGTGGTGCAAAAATTGTAATGGAAAAATTACCAGCACACAAACACACACACACAAACACGCAAAATCTGCTTGTTTCAACTGTCACACCTTTTTGATGTCTGAATATTCTGAGTGAAAGTACAAATTACAGTTTACTTTCTTATCTGTCAAATGAAGACCTAGAATTAGAGTATGTATTGTGTTTTGCACAGTTGAATCAATGTACACGAGAACCTTCTTAATTTCCACTAAAAAGGCTGGAAGGTACCTATTTTTCCCCCAGACTAGAAAAGAAGGTGGCAGCTTGTTGAAAAATTCTGGCTTTTGCATTCATCTCCCTGATCATAGATTGTTGCAAATGGTAGGTTTAGAATGACTAATTTAAAAGTGCAGATCCTGATAATGCTAGTATCTGTTCAGTAGTATACTATGAAGAAAAAGAGTCTTCGTACAGCAAAACCTTACTATATCAGTGCCTCCATTCACATAATGTCTGCTGAAGTGAGGAAAAGCTGTTTTAACTCTGTGTGAGAGCATTACTAGGTGAGGTTCTCTGTGATTTCTTATGCTTCCAGTCCTTTCCCAGACAGTAAATCAGGTGTGGTGTTCCAATGCAGCAGAATGCGGTGGCATAGTCCTGAGGTGGTGGAATCCACAACACCACTCATGACAATAGGTTGTGGGTTCACAGCTAGGGGTGTCAGAGAATTCAGATAAAAATGGAAATGGGATAGGCAGTTGCTGATATTCGCTTATTCATTCAATGTCTAGAACCAGAATCAGTCCACTGAAAGTGATTGGTATTTGCTGCTGCTGCTTTCTGTTCACATACAACATGTAATTGATTGCATCCCCTCCCTTTCCATTGGCATTGTGTTTCCATTCATTGAAATGATTGGGGTGGAATAACCTAATGGCAACGCAACTTGCATAATTAAGTTACATGATTTCAGCACCGTGGACAGCAGGGTGAATAGTGTAGCTTTGGTGGAAGTCAAACTACAGTGGAATGAAAACTTAGTTGCACGTTATGAAAAAGATGCCCTGTTCACAACCTACAAAATTAGCTGCAAATACAAAATGAGCTCAGTGCTACTTTTATTTTTACAGCCACTTGTAAAAACTGAATGAACACAGGGGCATTCAGAATAGGTATCCCTTTATGTCCGTAGCTCAGTGGCAGAACATCTACTTTGCAATGAGCAGCTCCTAGGTTGAACTGTCCATGGCATCTCCATGGAGGCCACTGTCAGTTAGCATAGACAATATGAAGCAAGATGGACCAGGGGTCTGACTCACTATAAGGCAGCTTCCTCTATTCCTGTGAAGTGATAAGTCCATTCCGCCATCTCAGGACAGTTCTCTCTCACTCTTCTGCAGGAATAGGCCATGCCTCCATGTCAGCAAGTGCCAACAGCATTAATCATAGGAAGGAGTTTTGGAATGTGACTTCTTATCTTGTTTTGCTGAGTGCAGAACGTGTTTCAAGTAGCAACTAGTGAAACCAAATTCCACAGGCCTCTCCAGCATTGTTTGTTCATATGCACCTTGGCATCTGGCTTCACTTATACGATTTCCTTCTTTGTTTGATTCTTAAGGGTGTGTCCCATCATGCCATATTTCATTTTGCTTGTTAACACTCTAGAATAAATAATCCCACCCACTCATGCAGGTCTATATGCACTTTCTCCTCCTAGTATAGTGGGAATGGGTTATTTATTTTACTTCTAACAGTACAAATGCACACATACGCTGGCCATACCCAGGTGAATCAGTCTCCCTGGGAAGAGAAAGGTGTGTTGTTTATGGGGTGGGGAGTGGGGAATGGGACGGGACACTGGGGTGGTGTTGTGAAATAGTGGGGCTCTAGGAATGTGCAATAGCCAAGTTTTGATGGTGCTATATACCAAGCCTGAACAACTTATGGCCTGCCAACCGAAACTCAGACCCTCAGCTATCTACAGTAGCCTGCTGAGTACCAGTATGGTGGTATGGTTAGGGTGGCGTACTACAACCCAAATTAAAATGGGGGGACAGATGAATCTGTCTTTCACTTCTGTGTGTCTTTACCCATTTTTTCTGTTCTGTTTCTGTATTAACAAGTCAGAGGAGTGTGAAATTGGGTGGATTGCAAAGTTCTGATCACATCAACCTAAGAGGTGTGGATGAAAGGTTGAACTCTTCAGTGATGCTCAAGGTATATCCCTACTCAGTCACTGGTGGCCTTGGGCCCCAGTCATATGCTCCCAGCCTAGCCTGCCTCACAGGGTTGTTATGAGGATAAAAACAGATGGTGCTGGGATATATATGAAGAAAGCAGGAGGTGAATTGTAATAAACCAACCCAGGTGTTCAGTTAACCTCCTTTTCTCACTGCCTGGCTGGGACTGCAGAACCAGAAGGCCAGTTGAGCACATGGCAGGCCCACAGTGAGTGGCCAGCAGGCTGGTTTGGCTTGGTAGGTCACAAGTCACCATGCAGGCTTCAGTTAAACAAAATTAGTAGACAACCTGAACAAGGGGACTACAGGACTGGGTAAATGGTTGTGGGGCTGCATGTCAGTATGTATGTGTGTGTGTGTGGCCAGGATGCAAAGAGCTGTTCTACCTACAGACTTGTGAACACCTGGTAGAAATTTCTGCTTTTTCAGTCAATTTGATTTTGAAACGCCTCTTCCTTTTCCCCACTTGGTTTTCAGGCTTGCTTGCTAGGCAACCTGGGAGCAACAAATATCAAGGCTCACTGGATGCGCAGAAGTAATAGTAGTTCTTTGAATCCTGGCATGTGATAATAGAGTATGCCAGTGGCCTGGAAGGAGTGCCAGTCTTAGGGTACATCTGTGCTATAGACTTGTTTAAGAGGAATTCTCCCTTCCCAAGGAATACCCTCACCAGACTGCTGGGGGAAATTACGAGAACCCGGTAGTACAAAATCTATACAAATTTGTAACATAGCTTTTGCTAATGCCATTTACAGAAAAGCTTGGCTCTCTCTGGCAAAGGTATGGCATATTGAAGGGGGTGGGCAGAACAGACAAGAAGCACAGCCAAAGCATGGATGGATGTTGTGAGTGGTTGTGATGCAGAACAGCCTTCTCCCACTTGGTATCCTCTGGCTGCTTGGGGAAAAGAACTAGTGGATGCCTGTTTGATTAAGGTTGGTTGCCAGTGGTGCAACAATCATAGCATCACAGAATTGTAGAGTTTGAAGGTATCATGAGGGTTATCTAGTCCAACTCCTACAATGCAGGAATCTTTTCCCCAACATGGGGTTTAACTCATGACTCTGAGATTAAGAGTCTCATGCTCTACCGACTGAGCTATAGACTGTGACATCATCGTGTGTCAATGTGAACTCTCCCTTGGGCTAGATATGATAGATGCTGTAGATTTTAACTGACTGCTGTAATTCTCGGAAGCCCTGCATTGTACTATGTTTGAAAATAGCATCTTCTCATTCCTACCTTTGTATAGTCAGGTTCAAGATGCCTTTTCTTGACTGCACAAAGCCTGTGAGAGAGGAAGCTATGGACTAATGGAGCAGGTGAGTGCAAGGTGGGCTGAGCAACTCTGGGTCACAGTTTCCCTTTCCTGGTTCTGTTCCAAGCCTGAGGTTACCCAGTCAGGCATGCATGCAGCTCAGCCACCTATGCCTCAGTGTCCCCCACTTAGAAAGTAGGGGCTCGCCGTACTTCAAAGCACTTTGTAAAACCCTTCTGATTAAATCTGCTAATGCCAAGTATTGTTAGTAGAACAGTTCCTTCATATTAAAAAGTAACAACTTCTTCCTAAGCAGCATGAGCAAATAACTTACTTCCAGGTTCTTCCCTGACTGATGGAGTGCTCACTGCCAAATCCTGTGTGTGCTTCACTCAGAAGTCTCACTTCCTCCAGTGGAACTTTCTTCCAAGAAAGCCTGCTTAGGATTTGCAGCCCAAGGCCTTAGTTTGTCAGGTTTACTTTGATTAAGGTGGTACTTTGTCCTTTGAGAAATTCAGGAAATGAAAACAAAGTCCCAGAATGGCCTTTGCCACCCTTGGTGTCGTGCTGGCTGGGCTTGATGGGAATTGTAGTCCAAAACATCTGGAAGCAGCACCAGGGCTGGTGAATGCTGCTCTAGAAGTACTTTGTGCACTTGTTTACAAAGGAGCTCCCCTAGATGTGCTTCCCAGGGTTCATTTGGTTCATTTGAAATATGGGCGCCTGGTCGTTTTTACTGGTGTTGCTAAGTTTACAGATATTTTGAATATATGCCTCATCCTTATAACAAGTGAGACTGTTGATCTTACCTGGTCCAGTATTATGACAGCAGCTCACCCCGGTCTTGGGTGGAGGTCTTTCCCTGTGCTGCCATGCAAGATATTTTCATTTGGGATGGGGAGCAGTGTGAGATCTTAAGATGTATGTGTAGGAAGAAGATGAATGGGTCTCCCCCCCCCACACAACATTCCTTGTGCCATATATGTGAACATGCACTCCTTGTTAACGTGGGGAGAGAGGCACTTTCAGTGCAGACAAAAATGCTGGTCAATTGTGGTTTATTCGCATAGGCAAGAGGGGGCAGGGCTAGGAAATGCTTTCAGCCCCAATGTGAAAATGCTCATCATTTTTCTTTCCCTAGAATTATTTCTGTCAAAAATGGCTTAAGATCTTAAGATGAATTCCCCATGTTTCTCCCAGTTCGAAATATACTGAGAATATTTATTGGGGGATGGGGAAATGAGCTGTTTTCCCATGCCCACCCTCTATTCATAAACACACCACCAGCTTTAAAAATATGATAAACATGGAACCCACTCACTCTTCTTTTCTTAGGTATAAGCACTGCCGTGAGCCACTCCTTTTGCAAGCTTCCTCCATAGTAACTTCCGTGCAAATTCAATGGCAGATCATGTCTGAAACTAGGCTTTCCCTTGACAAGCCCATGATGCTAAGGAAAACGTGTTGCGGCTGTTGCTCCCTGTAAGAGGAATGTGAGAGAAACCCTTGTGGTTGTTGCTCATTATAAGAGGGGCCTGGGAAAGGAACATTCTGCTAGACTGCTTTTTGGCTTGTCTTCAGGCACACTAGACAGCCAGCTCAGCAAATCTAAGCAGGTTTGGGTCTTTTCCACGCCTGCATGCGAGACCTCTGATGCCCATGGACATTGCCTTGTGTTCTTTTGAAGGAAGGTGGGCAATAACCACAAAGCTTCCAATAAAGTAAATAGGTAGTTCTGATCGGAATCCAGAGAAACCTGCAACTGTGCTCACAGGAGGATTAGCAATTCAGTTTCTCACTCAGCCGTCTCCTGTGCCATGTTTTAAAAACTCATATTTCATGGAAGGCTAGTTGTTATGGGATGGGTAAGATCTCACTAGGCATGCACATAACTCTTTGAATTCTTACCTCTGAGTTCCAGAGGTCCCACACTGTCTCTTTCATTCCAAGAGTCTTATTTAATCCTTCCTGATGGTGCTATAGGGGGTTCTCTAATAATTCCAATAAATCAGCTGCTATAGGCACAACTGATATTTTAGTGTGTTTTGGCCAACCAAGGCCTGGACTAGTTTTACCATTAAAGGGAGAAAAGACTGAGACGGTTACTCCAGCTAACTGGTGTTGGTGCTAATTTTTGTGGGGTTTTATTTTTATTTTTAAGGAGTGTTTCTTTACTTGCTTCTATCCCCAGTCTCAACAGTGAGGGGTGAGTAGCTGATTTTCAAGAGACTTTCCTTCATGTTCTTAGGGACATTGAAAACATTTAGTTCCGTAAGAGGGTGTGTGGTTTCCTTCCATGATAAAATATATTTATGTGAATATGTGTGTGCTTAATTGTATGGACTTTAAAAATAATAATACTCATTTGCCTGGCACTATTCAAGCTAGACAAAAACAGCCTGAGTAAGCCTCCATTGAACCCCAAAGAGCTTACTCTTGAGGAAGTATGTGTAGGGACTGCAGCTGGATTGCAGAAGGGCAAGACTGGTAGTTTCAGAACTGTCCAGATCATGATTCTGGGAGGTGTGTTTATTTCTAGTGAAAAATTGTGTGCACTTAATTGTTAATAATTCTTCCTCATTTTGCGGTCCTTTTAGAACAACCTTTCATAAACTTCTTCAGAGAAGTCTCCTTGGAATCTCTGAGAACCCAGGATTTTTTATTCCTATGTTATGCTAGGTATTTCTCCTTTATCCCATTCTTTCCCCCAAAAAACAGTTTTTGTTGTCAAGGTCAGGATTTGTGTTCGTTGTTTTAATTTTGTAGATCTGTGCTTGTTTTGTTCTTTTAATTATTGTGAGGAACTCTGAGATATATTGTGCTGTTATTTCCTTAGTAATTACTCTTTATGGTATTTGTTTCCTAAATTTCCTGTGAGTCCCAGGGGATATAGCAAAAATACATTGTGAAAAAATATGAGACACCGGCAGCAAGAATGTCTTTCGCTGTGGTATAAAAAGGCTTCTATCCCCCCCCCCCTTTGAGAATGTAAATGAAACACACTGATATTATCACTTCCCTTTCATTAAGTATTTGTACCATTAATATGGCCTATACATCTTGTGACACATCAGTCCAAAAACATGTATAGTGATAACCCACAAGCGGTTCTATAAACGCCTAAAACCAACCCTCCCTCCCTCCCTCCCTCCCTCCCTTCCTTCCTTCCTTCCTTCCTTCCTCCCTTCCTTCCCAGAAATGCATTGTGGGTGTGTAGACTTGTCAGAATGGGATGCAATTGCTTTGGTGGACTGCACAGGCTTAGAGCAAGACTTTTCATGTCAGTATTTATTGAAGTGATTATGGGAAGGCTGTTTTGTATGTTCTGAACTCTGCTAGATTTTGACAAGCTACTCATTCCGAGTGACAGGATGGTCAAAGGGATTGTGGACTTTGCAGGATGGAATAGCACTGTACTTTGCTGCAGATAGTATGCAAGTTGTGTTTCCAGAGAGAAAAACAACTGAGGAAGGGAAAGTTGATATTATTATTTTTTTTAAATCTAATTATTAGTTTTAAAAAAATAGTTCAGCCAGTAACACATGCTTTCTAATAGCAGTTCTATCATCACTAGAACTAAAAAGGAAAGGAAAGGAAAAAGAAAATGGCATAGAAGCTTCCCTTGTGCTGTGAATATTAATAATGAAAATAGGATGATAATTTATTCACACCACCTTCCCTTGAAAGTCATCCAAAGTAGAGGTGCAGATCAAAAGTTGTCCAGGACTTTTTGGCAGAATAAAGTGGTGTTGGCTTCCTGCTTCCACCATCACCCTGCCATAAAAACATAATTAAGAGGTGCTCTTCTGGATCAGATGAAACATCCATCTATTCCTGT